TTATTATTATTATTATTATTATTATTATTATTATTATTATTATTATTATTATTATTATTATTATTATTATTATTATTATTATTATTATTATTATTATTATTATTATTATTATTATTATTATTATTATTATTATTATTATTATTATTATTATTATTATTATTATTATTATTATTATTATTATTATTATTATTATTATTATTATTATTATTATTATTATTATTAATATTATTATTAGTCATCACGTCATCATAAACTTCATTGGTATTATTAATGGTGATTATTACAGGTGCCGGTAGATGCAAATGAGTTTATTGATAGTACTAGGGAATATTTTCCGGATGCAACACTTTCAATTGGTTGGACAAAAAGTAATCTATCAGAATTAACAATTCCGCAATTGAAGTATGTTTACTTTTCGTAGTTCAGCACTTTTTAATTAATAAATAATTGATTCAATTGTGGATTTAAAACAAAAACCAATACAAAATATGTTTACTTTTTCTATTATTGTGATAATTTGTTGTTTTATTCCATTGCATTTTTAAATTTAAATTGTAATTTTTAAGTATTGGTTGGCACGGATTGCTTCAAGTCTTAGCTCTTATCAAAGAGATTGATCAACCGCTTATGTTAGCAATTCGACTTAGTACGGTAAGTTATAAAGATATGTTAGCATAATATCCAAAAAAAAGAGCTTACTCTTTTCTTGTAACATTCACTATTTAGGCCTGCAATACTTTTATACCAATCTAACAAAACAGCAAGGCCATTAATTAACCGTCAATAATATCTCATTTTTCTTGCTACAAATGTTAGCTAAAACTTGTTAAATCATTTTTAATTATTTAAAATAAATTTAATTATCAAATAACAAATATCCATTTATGAATGGCTACTTTAACAACAATCAATGATATTTTTTTTTAACACAACAATAACTAACACTAATCTTTGATATTATTAAAGTATCAAAGCCTTACCTTATCATTTTCATTGATTAACTATCATTGTATGTTACCTATTTTCTATTTTTAAATTAAACACTTCTTACCTTCACTGCTTTTTTTTATCTTTTATAGGCTGCTTGCTCAAGTAAACAGATTGAATTTATTTTGGGCATACGATCAACAATTTCGGCATTAATTTGGAGTGATGAAATGGATTTAATTAATGATTGGTATGAGATAATTAATCTTCGATCAGGCGCTTATTCTAGACGTTTAGTATTTGATTTACATGCTAAACATCGAAGTGTCTTGAAAATACTTCCATATTCCATTGTTATGGTTAGTATCTTTGCATTTATTCGAATTAATTAATCAATTAATTAATAGATTCATTTAATTTTACAAATTTTCATATTAAATGGCTGACTTACTTATTAATATGATTAGCAATTACTTTTGTAATTTTTCATATCATTCTTCAATCTTGTTAGAATAATATTCATCAGTTAGTTTATTAAGTAAATAAGACAATAAAAATTAGAAATATTCAATGAATGATTTAAATTATCTTTAAAATTTAAATTCTAAGATTGAATTTTGAATTTCTTCATTGTTAGATAAACTTTCTTTTTTAGAGTAAATCGGGATTTAATCGAAACCACTGGAATTTGATAGAATTTCCATCCGTTTTTACTGAGTCATCTGGAGCTATAGTAAGCGATAAAGGTATTGCATTCCTCGGTTGGCCAACAGCATTTCTGATCTCATTGATACAACCATCCGTATTTCCGGATATTCAAAGGATCACTGCTAAGGTTTTCTTTCCTTTTTTTTCTTTTTGCTTAGTTTAAATTCTAAATTTAATTCTATTTATGCTCAATTCAGTTAATTTTTAGTTATCACTACTTAATTATTTCTCATTTTGTTCTATACTCAATTCCTATTTACATTTGATTGGATTTAGTATTTGATTTTATGACTTGATGAAATAATTATTTGTAATACTATTTATACTAAAATATTGATTGTATTTTCGATTGCATAAATTAAATAATATTTAAACTTAAACGATTGATATTTGCTGCAATATTTTAATAAATTCTTCATTACTTAATAAAATTAACACGTTCCACTATTTTTTCTATTCATAGAATTTATAATTTAAAAAGGGGAAATTCATTTTCCGTTCGAGTTCAAATTCGAATTTAATTCCAATTATTTTGAATAATTTGTCGAATTTTAGCTAATATTTGTAAAAAAGAAACAAAATATCAATGATGATTGGTTAAAGCATAGCGGTTTCGTAGTATATCTGTTGGAGAAAGTACTTGATCTTCAATCACCTGAGATTACTACCGGTATAAAGGTGAAAATGATATTTATTATTTTTATTATTTCTAACTTTTTGCAAAAGCTTTCAATTTTAATTGTTTGAATTACTAATTATAATTAACAGTGGATAGTTTCTTTTTCAAAATAGATGAATAATTGAAAGTGTTCGTAATATATTTGAAAGATTTGTATTATTTTTATAACTTCTATGATTTGATTTTATTATCAATATGTTAAATGCTTTATTTTGTCAAATTTTTTCAAGTTTTTCTAAATTTTAAACTTCAATATTTCTATGTAATCATGAAATGGCTATTGTTATACTGTATATTTGCAATATTGTTGTAACCGAAACTGAAATCAACCATTTATCATTTATAATTAATTAAAATAATGCGATTTTGAAATTTTAAGATATTCGTTGGTTATAATGGTCGTTTATCGATCGAGAATCGAGGGAAGCGGTATAATTATCACAATATGAAAGCAGTAGGACAAGTGCGCCACGATAAAAGCTGTTACAATATCGAACTTTTGGACAGGTAATTTCGTTCCTTTTTTTTCCAATTATTGTATTATATTATTCAATGTTTCATAATATTAGGAAATTTCGATTGAATTAATTTGCAGAGGATGGCAAGTAGAGCTTACTGTTGGAGGAAGTAATTGTGAAGACGAAAAGTTGACAAATCCAACAAAAATTACTTTAGAAACGTCGTTAACAAAGTAAGGTTTAAAATATTTGAAAAAGTTTTATTACGTTCTTTTTCTTTATTTTTTAAAAATTTTTTTTTTTGTAAAGAAAAAAAAGATCATTTCACGATGAAAATTTTTCATTTACAAAATTCTTCCGATAGCCTTTAATATTTTTTTGCAATTTTGATTAGAAGTTTATTACGTATGCAAATTTCAGAACACGTCGATTACGTAACGTGATTGTTACAAAGACAGGTGATGGAAATTTAGATTTGATTGTAAGTGATCTAATACATTCCTCCTCAAATCGACCTCAATTTTTTTTTTTCTGCTTATTTGCTATGTTCGGTATTATTAGGATTTTCAGATAATTCTCGAACTCCTCTACAATTATTCATTTTTTTTTTTCTTAATTATTTTCCTAATTCTAATATAAATCGAAAAAAAGAAAAAAATTACCTTCAAATTATTCTATCAAAAAAAAAAAAAAAAAGAAAAGAAAAGAAAAGAAAAACAGAGAGATAAGGGAAAATTCATATGTTGATCATGTAAAGGAT